CGAAGTTTTTCTTGCGTTCTTCCTTTTTTTGTAGACCCTAAAATGAAAACGCCATGCGAACCAAGATGGCCGTTTGACAATTCTATTATTATATTAAAATTAAAATAAAATGGTTTGAGTCTAAAAAAATAAACGAAGAAACGAAGACCAGAAAAATAAACTGTCTTTTACTACGCATATGCAAGTAAAGAGAAACTTATGATTTATCGCAATCTTCTTTCTCTTTTTAACCGCGTTACACTTCTACTTGTAGGCAGCCATGTCTTCCTACTCTAATATATATTGACTTTATTACTAAGCCTCAATCAAATTTCGCCACTTGATTTGCCAATTATAAAAACTTCTACATACGTTAAAATGTCACCAATGAATGCTACCGTATTTTCGCTCACCAGATGACACGGCAGTCGCGAGAGGTCATGTCAGTTTGTTTACTTCGTGATTGAACATAAATCATACACCATTATAAATAAATAAAACATTTTATTAAAAATATTGTACATGCCGAATCAACACTAACGTCCTTCTTTTCCCTACTGTCAGATTAGTTTTTAAAGCACTGACATTCCAACGAATGAACGGGTAATACCCGTATTTCATAATTGCTTTAAACTAAGCGTAAAATTCGTTAATTTGTTTTGATAAAGTATTATATTTGACATTTTGAAGACCTCACGCTACACAAGCGCCTCTAGTAGCAAATTCAAACGCGTTAGCTCACATTGGCGAAACTTGCGTTCATTACATTATGCGCAAAGGATTTTTAAAAGAAATCCGATAGCATTTTATTTGTTTTAGGTAAATAAAAATATAAATAATTGAGACTAGTTTAAACTAGGAAAAATAAATAATAGCAACTTTGTCTCAATAGACAATCGAAAACCGTTTAACTAGCATAATTATACTAAGACTAATAAATTATGGTTTAATAAAATTAAACTAGTATGTACCTAAGAGATTAATATAAAATTTACTAATACTGTGATAATGGAATAGGATAAGCTTGACAGACAGTATGTTGCAAGATTAAATTTGTTTATCTCTTTTTATTCAACGATGTAGCAGCTCGACAGAAAGAGATAAACAGATTGAGGTGACATTCTTGCTATAGTAAGCAATGCCTCACAATACCAAAAGGCTTCAGAAACTCCGCATAAAGTTTTCTGGATCCTTGTTACAAAGCAATAGAGTCTCAAATTGAATTAGTTTATACATAGTAGTGAAGACATTGTAGAGTATTGACTTTAAATAATATATATTAACTAACTAATTATAAATATAAAATCCATTATAAACGTGAGTATACATTTCAGCAAAGTTTTAAGTAGTATATAGTTTTATATTTTAACAGCTGCATAATTTTAACAGGAAAGTCTAATAAATTAGTACCTAATTGATTTTGAACTTTAAATCTAATGCACTAAGAGGGATAATCATAATAGATTTCTGAATGATTTTTAAACGTATACGCACTTTTATAATGGATTATAAATAATTACAATCTAAAGTTAAAGTGGCGTTGTTCAGATCTTATAATATTTAGGAGATTTTACCTTTTAAACTAATAAAGAAGTAATTACCACTAAAAATAGAATATTAAAATAAAGGCTGTCAGATTAGTCAGGAAACATTTTGACTGGATTTATTAGTATCATATCGACTAGGTGTTGTCTTATGCTATCTTTCTCGCTCTAGTAAATGACGATGCTAATTGATGATAAAGGATGGAGAGTGAATAGACCTTGTAGTTGTGGTTATTGTTCAAAACAATCTTTATAACCGTTTCAACAATCGCAAATTAATGTTGAATTAAATACTGTAAAGGCGCGATTATTCTTGATTATATGTATGCTTAAGATTTATTACACTGGCCATATTAATAGAATACGAACTAAGGTATACGGCAACTGAATCCTTATGTTAATGCAGTTTACAAAATCACATTAGGTTAAGCGAAACTGCCTTATTTTAAATCTTAAAAACGTTAGAAGTTTAATTAAAAATATATTACAGAAATTATTATTCGATATATTGGTGAAACCTGATGTGCAGACGTGTGTAAAAATAATATAGTGCAATTAAAGCACTAGTCTAGGCCTAGGAAGAGATTGTCCGAAGTTGGGTGAAAAATAATATAGTGCAATTAATTCTGCAGTGCATTCAGGCAAACGACCAAGTGTACAGCTACTATAAGGAATCCAAAATTAATGAAGTATTGGTTCCATTTTTTTATTTATTTAATTTATTTAAAAAAAAAAAAAAAAAAAAAAATAACTGTAGATAAAACCTTTTACTATATTAATCAGACACTGGCATCATTTAGTATACCTTTTTTGAATTGATATTTTACACACTGTTTATTGTTTTTATGTCACTCTCTTCTTTACTCTCGTCTGACTTTTATGTATTTACAACGTGAAATATATTAAATACTTCAAGTCACTGTGACTCTTAATTCCTACATTTTAAGAATAACAAAGAGGTTTTATATAGTGCTTTATTTGAGTCGTCTATTTTATATATTTTTTATTATTTAGGGAATTAAAGAAGTGGTGTTTGCAAGGTAAAATCATACATTTAATATACTTTTTTAAATTTCATAAACGAATGTGCATTTAACACTGAAAGGCGGATGGATCGACTTTAACATCTTGATGTGGAGAGAATACGAAATTCCCAATATAAATTTAAAAACACGAACATTATAATGAGTCGTGGCTGTATGGACTTGATCGCTTTGCTTTAATCAATGCCTGCTTTATAAATGTTTCGTATTTATTCATACCAATGGATTTGAGTATTATGTCGCAGCAATAGTTTATGGAGATTCTGAAAAATTCCCTTTTTAGACCCCTCCTTAGCTATTTCTACCAAAATCCTAAAAACTGAAACTGAATTTCTTAAATTATCAAGAGTCTGTTGCCACATTCTCAATAGTGAAAATCTCATTGATAATGTATCCAAAAATTTTTCTATGGTCTTGTTCTGTTATGCACAGAAATTCTGCCAAAATCCCGTAGTGAAGAAGACACGAGACTCGAGAGACTGAGCGATAGTTAAGTTTAACCGGTTTTTCCTTGAATCCAAAATTAAATACCGACATAAACTATTTCTACAATATTATACAATAATAAACGTAAAGTATCTATTTAAAGTATTTAAATGTCGCTAGTTTGCCAAATAAATGATTAATGTTTTTATATACCAAACTATCAAAGTGACTATATGTACTGTTTTATAATAAAATTTTGCGCCTATAAACCATCATAAAAGCATAAGGGGTACTTTATTGCCAAAAAAACTTCAAATATAAAACATTAACGCCATCTTCTAACAGACAAAATAACTATAAAGTCACTTTAAACAAGAACTTTAGCACTAATCGTTGTAACGAAGCTCATTAGAATGGGGTCAATTTATTATTACCTTCCTTGACTAACTTATTAATATAATTATTTCTAAAACTTATCTATAAAGATTTGTTTGTAATAAATAAGTTTGACTAATGAGAGCATACCAATCGGATATAATTGTATAATGAAATTAAGTAAGAATGTAACAAAAGTGTAATATTTATTATGAGCATTATTTTATTTTTTTTCAAAATTCAACAGCGCTTGCTTTGTAACTTCTACCTCTATTTCGTATTTACTTAGTAGATTATTTGAATCAATTAGAATGTCTTGAGATTATATATTAAAATTATTATATTTACAGATAAGTTACATTTACAGATGTACTGAGTACTATATTCAACAGTTACCCCAAGTTCACATGGTGTTATCGTTCACGCTTCCTAGACTTTTCTTAGTTTATTTTAGGCTCAAGGACCAATTTAAACTTTTTATAATGGGATATTATAAAGCATAATATAGTTATTTTCATATCATTTCATGACAGTAGATGGCGCTTTAAATAAAATGTATGTGCTGACTGGCGCCATCTACATATTTGTATAATATATTATAAAAAAAAAATAGCTTGGCCTTCCTACATAACTGTTACCTAGTCCAGAAGTTAAGGTAACAAAACGAGCTCTATAATTTGCTTGAGTTTGTTGAAAAAATAGACATCCAGCTATCGAGGACAATGCTATGCGAACGTGGGATAACTCATTCAGATACACAAATTGTGTGTTGAAAAACATTTAAATAGTTACATTAAGGTGAACATCCATTGTATAACGGGCGCTAGATTCGCAACGGATTTTTCTTTGCTTTATATGGATTTGTATAGCACTAGTATTATGGAAAATGGGATAGCATTATGGAAATCGCAAAGGGAATGGGATGCGATGACGCCTCAAAAATTACTTCTATATAGAGCAACTATTGCGCGCGTGCGGACACATTGGACGTTCACTCTAAGATGCTTATACAAGTGGAATTAGTTATAACCGATTTTAGAGACCACTCATCAGCACGTCTTTAGTTTTATTTTCAGAACAGAAAACAAGGAATCCAGAACTGTTATTAAAAAAAATATATAATTGTTCTATTTCGCTTGCCAAAGTGATTCTTAATATAAGTATTTAAAAGTAACATCGACAAAACAGTGAGAAGTCATATTTAAACTAAATTTTAGAGGGGTAACATTCTAAAATATAATCTCTAAATAATTTCATTGAAAAAACTCAATGCTACATATACCTCTAATTTAAATTGATTCCTTAGCTTGATTTTAATTAATAGTGTAAAGAGTATACTTAGTATTGATCGAAGAATCATCTTATTTTAAAATAATAAATACAACTAAACCTAAAAATACAAAGATTTATAGTCGCCATAACCACGAAGTGGAAGAAAATATAATAATAAATATGTTTGATGAATATCAAAATGCGTTTTGAGCAAAAATGATATAAAAACTGTTATAGACAAACCCCACCTCCCAATTGTTTACAAAATTGTGACGTCATCACGTTAGGGTTGCCTTACATTGCGTTCGAGAGACGCTTCGTTTGTTTACTATATAAATCACAATAAATAACGCGTACCTATTCATACTTCGATGTTCTCGTCGTACGGCGTGATCGGGTGTTTGAGTTTCTTCGTGTTGAGTATGGACGGTTTCTGGGTGCGAGTATGCCAAACGTAGACTTTCGTACAATTCTCCGCTAAAGGTTCCAATTCTTCTTTGGTTGTGAAGTATTTAAGTATTTCACTTTCCTGCAGATTGAAAAAAAAACATTATTATCTACTACTGTGTGCCAATGACAAATTCATCATGTCGGTGGAGGATTTCGTCTATATCACAGACTGACGTCATTTGTCACCCTAAAAAAGCCCTTTTCTTTTTTTTGTTTTGAATAAGTTCCTAATTATTTGATTTTTTAAGAAAATATTTTTTGAGATTTTTTTATTATTTTCTTAGATAAATTTTACTCATCCCATCTCAGACAGCCAGGGACACAGTGTTTTTTTTTTTAAATACTATTCATTAAATAAAATATCTTCAGTATGATTATCGCGAGCCTTTAATTATATTGACATAACTTATTGAAATAGATCTAATACAAAAAATTAACAGTTCATTGATAATTTTCAATAAAGCAATCGTGACTTCTTCAAAGTTAAGATTCATAGACGGCTTTTTTATTTATTATTTCTGCAATTATGCACATTCCACACATTTATTCCACATTCCACGCACGTAATTAGGTATACGTGCTTAGTAAAAAAAACTTATTATGTTTGCGTTTTATGCCGCTTTTATCACAAATAAAATTTATGGATTTATTGTACCTATATCATTAAATAAATTGTATTTACATCAGTTACAAATTCTAATTTATTTTTTCCATCTTGGTTGTAACAATGACTTGTGAAAATCGAACAACTCTGCCATCTCAATATTTACCTTGTATTGTACCAGCAAGGGCTACTTTTTCTCCCTGTTTTTAATCACAAAGACATGTCGAATATAAACCGGTATACATTAGACTGTAAAGTCACTTTTCACCACAATTTTAAAAATAACAAAAAAAAAATAGTTTATCAAATATAATATCTCATTCATCGATAGATTCACATGTCTTGTCAAAAAAATTCATTGATCTAATATACGTACTTGATACATTCGTCGTGGCTTATCTTATTTTTTTTATTTTGTGTTTTCCTAGTTTGCTTATCGATAATCCTCAAATGAATCAGTAATATGTTATAATAACATAGGTCTCACACATCACATAATACTTCTCACTTTTGACTGACATGGCACATAATATACCTAATATCAAGTTTACCATTTGTTAAGCGTTTTTTTTTTCGGTATGGTTGTTAAGCAATTTTCGCAGTGGTCCGTTATAGGATGGGTGATCAAAAGTTTATTGTCTCACACTCCTCTGTGTTTTGGAAGGCACATTTAGCTGTTGGTCCCGAATACATCTGCAGTCATGATACCCATTAATACCCACTAAAACAAACCGGGCCCACGTGGCGGGTCATGGCCATTCTCCCTATTAGATTCGATTCCTTCCATGAGGTAAGGCTGAGCACCATCATCATTGGCTGGTGATAATGATGACGGTGAAAGAAAAGTCAAATAGCTTAAGTAACTGTGTGATAAAGCCTCGCTACCATTCTTAAACATTTTTTCAAACAGTGCCACACTCAAAAGGCACTTATTACACTATTTAAACATCCATACCATATAAATGAAGTCGCACTGTAAGCTAATATGCTAATCTAAGTATTGCGTGACAGCCCTAGATGTAGTATAAATCAGTTCCAAAATTGCAGGATGTGATAAAATCGGGCTCGAGAACTACAAGGTAAAAGTTGAACGATAAATGTGTTATCAAAAAAGCGCGTACGTTTCGAACATTAACTGTTATCAATGTTTGAAATAAACATAGCAGTAGAGTGATCTCGATTGATGTGTTATATTATAAAAAAAGTAAAAGGGCTTTGAATAATATTAATTTTCCTATCAGCCTTGTATTTCTACTAAATTAATCAGCACCATAAATCAAGACATAAATTTGACTGCGGCATCTCCAAGTTTTGAGATGAATTTAGGTTTGTTTTCGAAAATGCTGGATCGCATGTGCAGTTGTGATAAAATAATTATTGAGCACAAATATTAACATATAATATATTAATAGAATATCAATGCTTCAAAAAGGGCAAAAGTGCAATCTCGCCTCAAGATATTTTACAATATTATTGTTTAATTTTTCTTTTTAAATCGATACAGTATTTTCTTTGTATATAAAGTACTTGACAACATAAAAAATTGTGGTCATCTTATAAGATAATAGCTCGATAACATATATTTCACTTTATTTTAAACGAAATAATGTATGATTTTTACAGGTTCATCATCATCATCATCAGCTCTTTTACGTCCCCACTGCAGGGGCTCAGGCCTTCCTTATGGATGGTTAAGGTGGATGGGCCATGACCCTCCACGCTGGCCCAATGCGGATTGGAGGGTACTAACGACTGCAAATGCAGCCGGGACCAACGGCTTAACGTGCCTTCCGAAGCACGGAGTAGCTCGAGATAATTTTTTAATCACCCATCCCGTGACCGACCCTTGCGAAAGTTGCTTAACGACTACGATCACGGGCCACGGCGCTTATCCACTACGCCACCGAGCTACTTTTTAACAGGTTACACGAAATAAATTCAAATATTTTTTTAAATTTTATCTGGGACAAAATCACCTTGTTAGTGGTTGCACCTCCGATAGCGTCACACGCTAGTAAATATTCTGTTGACGATTTAAGTTTGATGAGGTTTATTTATTTACTTGCGTGTGACGTCAAACGCGGCGTAATGGCGGCATATGATAGACAGCGTTTTTCGCGCGGTTTCGGAAATTTAAACTTTAAATTTAGATTTTTATTGATAAATGCAGTAAATCTCCCAGAAATATTAATGTAATGTGCTGATTATGTAATAAAGAATAATTCAAAACTATTTTTCAAAACTAGTCAAATACTCTATTACAAAAAACGTAACAACCAACCGTGTTCAACTATTTCCATACAATGGTCTCTCTCTATATGTGTCATAACCATAGGCGGTAGAAATATGGTGATGTAATGATGCAGATGCAACAAACTCACCTGGAAGCCAGACTGCACCTTCCTCGAGAATTTCGCCGAAGGTTTATCCAAGAACAACGTAGCATTGATAGCGAATCCAGCCATATCAATAGGGAAAGGTCTGAACGGTTTCCAAACAGCATTGTATGCGTACACCTTGCCGTCTTTCACTAGAGGCATCTCTACCCGCATCCCGCCAACAATACCTACAGGCCATACGCCTACTTTGTTTATTTTGCGCATCTGCAATTGAAAAAATGAGGTTTATTAGGAACCCGCAGCCCCATCACAAATATAAATATATGAAAATTAATGTCCATCTGCGATATTAATAGGATTCCGGGAAAAGATTTGCTACGGTACTCAAAACCATATATAAAAGTTCAGAGTTTAAAATTTACCAAAATAAATAAATAAGTACGTATTAGAAACACCCAGACCCTCATAACCCTCCGCAAGATTTTTCGTTTGAAATATTATCAAAGAAAGAGTGCAGAATTATATTTATTCCGTTTTAGCCATTTCCAACCCCAAAAAGGAAAAAGGATGACTCTAGTTTTATCGAAAATGTGGAAAATATATTGATTTTCCAAGAACGAAAATCGCGCCAGACCGTGCAATGCGTGAGAAGCAGATAAATCTGAACATCACGAGCATGTTCCCAACTCGTTCATAACTCTTCATACATGCTGATTGGTTTTATGGCCTGTGACGTATTCAGATAACAAGCGATAGGCAACACGTACAATCTGCATCGGTTTTCCCCTGTTTGTACGGTCTTCTACTTTTGGATTATATATCAGTTTCGGCATTTGTCCGTTCGGTATTCTTTCTAGCCAACAGTATGCTCTTGTCAACTTTTCCGCAGAAACTAGCAATTCACCACAATATGATAATATGAAAGTCAGTCAAAAATGGTTAAAAATACGATGACTTTTGAATTGGCAGACAAATTAATAACGAGGTTCATTACCGCTTGCAAATATTTAGAGTGAGTTTATTGAAAAGCGGTGTCAAGGTCGGAATTATTTAACTTCGCTGAGTGCTGAGTGATAATAATACTAAAATATTCATAAACCTAAGTGGACCATAAATATGTATAATATATAGATCTTGTAAGTAGGTATATTATAGAGCTACTGCATTCAAAACTTGAGAATGTGATTGGATTGCAGAACATAACTGTAAAATTAATAAATAAATCTTGTGTAGGACAGAGGTTTCTAAATTCTTGTATTGTTGACAAGTCATAATTTTTGTTTTTTCGAAAAATTCTAGAAGATAACTGTTGTCTTCGTTAAATCAAATCGCAGTTCCTATATTACATGCTGTTATAAAAATATCGACAGGTTATAAATGCGAAAAATCTTCATGAACCATTAAAGAAAATGATTGCCAAGCTCAAACACGTCGTCAACACAAACATACGTTGTTACACAAAAAACACAGGCGTGTATTAATATAATAACAAGAGAGAAATCTAGTTACTTCTCCATTGAAATAACAACGTTTTGTTATGTTTATCGTGCGATAAACAATTCTCAGTATAAACACGCTGCTCGATTTGTAAATTGTTGGTATGCTACGAACATCCTGATTGTCATATCGGTACAAGTGTAACTGATTATAAATAAAATATTAAGTTATAATTATCTCTAAAATTTAAATAACAAAACTCTTTTTCAACCAACATTTATTTATGGTTTCCGGAACTATATTGTCTATCATTAATGAGTATTATTATAATGTTATTGAAACCATAAGAGAAACAAATTGTATAACTATGCTGGGACACAAACCTTATTTATGAATGAAATCAAAAACCACAATTCTTCACGTAGAACTAGTGAGGTATGGTGGTTGTTAATGACAGCAGATGCAGCAGGGACTAACGGTTTAATGTGCCGTGCCGAAGCACGGAGTAGGTGCTTAACTTCCGCACCACAGACCAAATCCGTTAAAAACAGGTGCATTTTCGAGCTTCTCCTATGGAAAATTAGACTATAACGCGCTCTTTGAAAAAAATAAAATAGTATGAATAACAAAATGCCGACTTACCTTAGTATCTGTAATAATTATTAATTTTGTGTAAATGAATATATAACCTTAAAATAACTTAATGAATTAAAATATCTTGAAATTTATGGCCACCCTACAACGTACAGTATGATGATGGTGACCGAAAGGGTAAATGCATTAGTGTTATCTGCTCTTTAGCACTTATTTATGTATTTGTGTATTGTTATCGTCTTGCTGTAAATATTTGCTACTTATATCAATGCCTCAAAAGCCCATCTATTACATGTCACCAGTATTTCAGAGACACTAGTGTTATGCAGTACTTTTTGGACACTTCAAGGACTTTTTTAATCTAAGCATCATTGTAAAGTATATATATTAATTATCTAGTTTAGTCTATATTGTGGTTATTCTGCTTGTTATTGTGTACCTTACCACATATTCTTCTCCACATTACCCTAAGGTTGACTGGCAGAAAGTACTATGTACGTCTATGTATGTATGTGCATAAAGAATAAATAAATAAAGCCACCATCAGAGGTTTGGACATGGTCTCTTGTAGTTATTTCCATATTTATAATATATATATATATATAAAATAACATCTGAATAACCATTATCTCTATATTTAAAATATTTACCTCATCAAATACTTTCAATGAATATGTATTATCATCATCCATGAAATAAACAACACCTCTTTTGACTTCATTCTCTTTCATATGTTGTCGCAACCAGTCCAAAGCAAAATTCCTTTGCTCCACTCCGCTGGCCTGAAGTGTAACAATAATTAAATAAATCATAGTTTATCATAATAAAATAAATAGTTGTAAAAGTAGTGGTATTAAAGTGTTACGGAAGTCACAAATATCTTTAGTTGATTATAAGCTGATATACATTAATATAAAGTTCGAAATACATTGCAGAAGTAATTCAAGATACTCTACTATAAAGATTGTTAAAACATTATAATTGTTTCCTACAATAAACAACTAATACTTGTCGGTTAAGCATAAAACTTTTTAATACGGGTGTAGACAGTAAAGGAAAATAGTAACATATTGTCTGGAAGTGTTTAATATACTATTACTGATAATCACACTTTTATGATTTTTATATTGCTTAAATTAATTGTAAAAAAATAAATCTAATATTTTATACTCCTTGTCTTGCGTGTTCACAGGATATAGTGAAAATTAAGTTTATTTTTATATTTCCTTCATCCTTTAAGATAGAAAAAAGTGAACATAAAATAATTGGATATTTACAGAAAACATTCATTTTTCAAACTTATTAAGCAAATGCATTATATATACCAAAACACATCAAATACTTTTGAGTAATTTACAGGGATTATTTAAAACAAATCTGAACTCATTATTAGTGTAACAAATGCCAGAAATCAATATTCAAAAAAATAATAACTGATTGATTTATTATTTTAATATTATGAATCTTCGCATACTTATTGTAATAGCTAACAAATATAAATATTAAAATTGGTGTTAAATTATGTACATGAGGAAGATCTTTAAGATCCAAGCTTCCTTATCAATTCAGATCCAAATCATGGATGCTATAATTTGTAAAATAGTCCTGACTATATAGCTAGCATGTCTGGTAGAAATCAGCGATAAGACTGCCCATTGTTACACTGTGATGTGATATTTAATTTAATTAGTTTAAATGGTGTTGATAATTAAGTGTTGTCATGAAATAGTATAAAACAAAGTCGCTTTCTCTGTCCCTATAACCCTTTGTATGCCTAAATCTTTAAAACTACACAATCGTATTTGATGCATTTTTTTCATAGATTGGGTGATTCAAGAAGGTTTTTATGTACAATACAAAACCATGTGGGCAAACTAAGTAAGCTAGTTATTTATATAGTCAACAATGATAAGTTTTCCATATTGATTTCTAGATTATGTTTTATAACACAAAACATAAGTTAATCAATTGATTAATTAATTAATTAAGATAATAAAACTCTCGACCATACACAATACCAAGTTGTGTTGTATAGACTAGTTTTAAAAATACAGACGTTGATATCCATCACCTGCAATTTAAAATACTGTATTGTAAAATACTGTATTATTTTATTATTACAGTTTCATATATACATAAGTATTGAACTTAAATGAAAAAATTATGCTGTATTATAAGGATTTATAAGATAACACCAAGATCTATAACTGTCTAGACAAGATAATTCAAGAAATATTTCATCATCACCAATAATACAGGATTTGAAATGAGGATTACAAAATTGAATATTTTAGTACTATGTTACTGATTCCAACAAGATCAGCAAAGAAATAATAAAAGAATCCTTGTTATATATACAGGCAGTCCTCAACTTAGGTCGTTTTGATTTACGTCGTTTCAAGTTATGTCAAACAATGTTTTGACACTGTACCTCAAGCATATGTCAATTGTTTCGATTTCAGGCATAGGAGAATTCACTTGTCGCGCGGTCAGTGTCTGAGGGATTTTAATGTTAATAATGAAATTTGTGTTACCAACCTGTTTGATAGCAAGAAGAAAAAAGCGAAGCAATCGAGAATTGATAGTTTCTTTAAGCCAAGAGTTTTATTATTTCTCGTTGCAAATACTAGCATTTTCATAAGTACATTTCTAATTATTTTAAGTTTAATTACTTACTTTTGACAATAAAGTATCTATATCGTTTATTATTATAAATGTAGTTTTTAGTTTATTTTGAGTCCTTGTGGAACCTAACCCTTGTGTTTTACATGCAAACATATAAAAAAATATATCTTCACTTAAGTCATCTCGATTTATGGTGTGTACTCCGAGAACCTAACATACCGCAAGTACGAGGACTGCCTGTATTCTAATTTTTTTCATTATAAAATAATTATAACTAAATTTACTCACCGATGAATGTTTGACTTTAGCTGTTTTAATGTTAAGATGTGTATATTTTAAAGTAGATTCTTTTAGTAAATTTTCTACAAGCTTAGTCTTTGTATCCGAGTCCTCAATGACAATCCAGTGAAAGTTCTTCACTAGCATCAGAGTTTGAGACAACCTAAAATAACAGATACAACAAAAATCTATCAGAATAATTACAATAAACTGAAATACTAATATTTTGTTCAACTTTCTGTAAAAATTCCATAACATAACTTAATACTGTAAATGAATCAATTTTAGGCCACAATCTGAGGCTTAGAATCTCTGTCCTAAGCTTAACTGTAAATGGAAAATGTTCTGTACCAGTACTAAAAAAGTATGTGTGCTATAAAGTATGATTATGAGATATATACGATATACATTTTGACAATAAAAAAGATGTGTAAAACACTAGTATCATAACAATAATACTCATAATAAAGTTTTTGAGATTTTTTTATAGAATTATTAAAGCTTTATAAAATAACTTATTTAGCCCTTGTTTTAGAAACTAATATTAACTACATTTATTTTAGTCTATAACTTCATAAATTAATATAATTTCAGACATTTTAATTTATTACGTTTTAAAATACGGTTTAGTGCCAAATACTCCGTTGGCCAGAGATGAGCTAAGATAATCGATGCTATCAAGGGCAAGTAAAACACGAAATTACCTTGTCAGATCAGCTTTTTGTGCGAGTCTTGCGTATGTTGGAGTAATCCCATAAATAGTCGGAAGATAAACAGACACTTCTGGATTGAGCTGGCATTGAAAAGCTGGCTTACTATTGAAGAAAAATAATAATACGAATATCAGCATCCCGAGCGCTAAATATTGCTTCTTTATGTTAACAAAAGGCATCTTATTGTCACAAAAACACTTCGTTTTTTTTTTAAGCACAACGCCCGCTTGTGCTCAATGATGTTGATGAAATGATAGCATTATTTATTAATAACGATATGCACCAAAACTCACAAACAATCACAACACAACAGCGGTAACACAGCGGCTTTCGCTATTTCGCTACGCGTTAAACGTCAAATACGTCAAATGACAGAAGCAAAGAGCATGAAAAAAAAAAGATAAGGATGTAAAGCTGTTTAAATTCGTTAAGTAATATCTGCAGATATGCTATTTGTTTATGGGGTCACAGTTAAGAGCACCTATAATAGCGTCTATTAATGTTTCTTTTTATTTTGTGATTATAAATATCTTTTATTTTAGTTTTCCACTTAAAATAAGTATATATAATAACTTTATATCTAATATCTTTATAAAAAATATTTGTTCATATGAAAATCAAATTAAAGCAGCGACGCTATTTGTTTCCTGTAAGAAAAATATGCTAAATGTGTGCGAAATTGCGTCTTTTGTTGCTTTAACATTAGCTGAATTTATTATTGTTTTAACTGGAGACAAAACACAAAAATATACTTTAAAATATACCTAAAAATGGTTCTCCCTTTTTTAATATTAAAAATGAATCTGGGGATCAATATAAAATTATCGTCATTGAAAAATGTTTTATGTTTTTTTAGGTTTCCTCACTTGAGCATGTAATTATATACATTATACCTATATAATTTCAGTATATATTTTTTCTTATTCTATTCGTGTGTATTTGTATTTAATTTAATATTTTTTATTTTCTATTTCTTTATTTATACTATTCTTATTTCATTTTTTTTGCACACTATGTGCAAAAAAAATGAAATAAGTTATCGTGCAGCATTCGACGTGCAGCTGCGTGCGTAGTTATCAAATAAATACATTAATCAATAAAAATAATGCAGTAGTAAAATGCTGAAAGTTAAATTGTTTTTACAGAAGTTAATACTTTCAAGATTATGACCAATTTAAAATTTTAAAAAATGCTGCTTGCTATCGGGCAAGCTTTAATAGACCACCAAATTTTATTAGAATTATAACGAACTTAAACCAAGCATATACGCTGATGCAAATAGTTTCTCATTATTTCAATAACTCAATATTTAAATCACAATTTGCCATACAAATAAATTCTTACTAAACCATTGATTGCTAACAGAATGATACAAGCTAAACTCACAATACAAAAAAATGAGTATTGAGTGAATAACAGATAATGAAGAATAGCACAGCGTAATAAATAACTGTTTAATTATAACTGTTACTGCAATCACTAACACTAGCACATAGATTGAAAATAACAATTCAACTACAACGCCACCTGTTAAGGGGTGGTTTAAATTTATGGTATCCTGACTAACAAAGTGACTTTCAAGTTTATAAAAATTACAACAGAGGGAAAACTGAGTCATCTTTATTGTAGTAAAGCAAAGCAAAGAAATGTGAAAGGAGAGTGAAACGTGCCTGAAAACACGCTGAAAACTCCATGCTTAAAACCATGGATTGTGTATGTATGAGATTATATTAGCTAAAAACAAAACGTTTTCTTCAGATTCTCTTTAGGTAAAAACTTAGTAGCTTAAAAGTAAATGGATGGTAGACTGATATATTTTATAAAATCCTTTAATTCGTCCAAAGATTTTTCATAAGTATTTCCAACTGCACGTCAGATTATACTAAATTGACAAATCCCCACTCGATTTTAAACCTTAACATATTTGAAGGTAGAGGCCTTGGTATCTGGCAAGGAATGTCCTCTGCGGCAAAAACGGTTTCCTGGGTAATTTCGAAGAACCTTCCCCAGACAGCTCTGGACGAGGGGTCCATTGAACGACCCGAGTCATCCCTCCCCACCCCGTATATTATGAAATCATTTTTTCATTACACATCTAAAAGGGTTATTCACAGTCCTCCGACGGATCTCTGATTGATAGGAGGCGACGGATTTTTTTTTCTAATACCTCAAATTGAATTGGTTTTTGTTTTTATCACTTTTTACTTAACCAAAAGTACAACCAAAAGTTATACTGTATATTTTATCGATTGTCCGCGTCGATTTTGACGATGTCGACGATATCACGTCCTACAGCAAATATCTACGTGGGACGCACTAAACTTTTCCGGAATCATTACTAAAAATATAAATATACGTGGGAGAGCCACGTTTTGTCATGAATGGGCCGGCTCGACCGGAGTGATACCACGGCCTCACAGAAAACCGACGTGAAGCAACAAAGGCCGGCAGCGCGCTTGTAGCCTCTCAGGTGTTGCAGGTGTCCATGGGCGACGGTTATCACTTACCATCAGGTGATCCGTCTGCTCGTCTGCCCCTTATCCCATAAAAAAGTATTATCAATAATAAAAAAAAATATTTCTATTCTTGACCATTAACGGATTGTTTCTCAAAATATTCTCCCTTAGTTTCAATGCACTTTGTCATACGATTGAACCAATTTTGAAAACATATGTGCCACTCCTCCGTGGTGACGTCAGATACATGTTTTTCATACTTTTCGACAGCCTATTCTGATGATGAAAACCGGTGATCGCGTAATTGATTCTTGATTTTTGGTTATAGAAAAAAACCCTTCAAAAACTCATTTGCTGTCTGGATGTGTGCTGTGTGGGAACTAATAAACGAATTTCTTGGAATGTCAAAATAAAAAATATATCATTCACTGATTGTTAAAATCGTGCAGATAATCTGTAAAAATACATTATAATGGACATCGGAGGTATAGAAAAAAATATTCCCTCTGTTCCTACCAATCGGAGTTCCGGAGTTGTCGAAGGCAGTATTCATCGATTCCCTTGATCCTAGGATAATAGCAAATTAAAGAGCAGGTATCCAAATTAAGCCTTAAGCAGTATATTTTAATACATTTAGAGGGAAGAATAGATCGAATACTGTATAATATCGCTAATATTTTACTTGGCTATAACCGTCCACAAGCAAAGGGAACCACACTCGATCGAACTATTGTAGACCTCGGTTCACTTTACATTTTACACAGGGCGAGCCAAACTTAGGTAGCTCTGCTGAGTAAAATTTTAGGTTGAGTTTAATGAGTAAATGTGCATGCAAGTCGAAGTAGCACCATAAGAGTTGTTTAAAGGGAAAATTGTGATCTGTACAAACATTGCCTTGATGTTTATATATACGAATAAGTTTTGAAGACGAAACAAGCTTACAGAACCCCAATAATATTTCTTACGTAAGCGGATTTTTCACACTTGCTAAATGGGATTATAGAGTCATCGAATAAGATAGATAATAAAGATAAAAGTCATTAATCCTACTTATCATTTTTGGGCTGTCTTTAAGTATTTTAGATTTAGTTGTACAAACACTTGTTAACCAAGATAAGATTGAGTCGAAATCCTTAGTTTGATACATCGATCAATAGCATTATAAGTATTATAATATCTGTTGAATTTATTCAACTCGTCGACTTCACCAGAAACCAGTTAGAAGGATGGCATAAATAGCCGTGTTATAGGCATTTGGAAAATCGATCAGGATCAGGGTCCTAATTGTAAAATTTCAGAATCCCTAGAAGGCAATCATAATCCCTTTCAAAGGCATAGCAATTTATGGAAGTACTTAACTTCTAAAATAGCAAGCGCTTTTGAAACAAATGGTGATTTGATTGATCAAGAAAACTTTAGCGTTAAGTTAATGAATATTTTTAAAATGTCGATAGATTTTTAAATAAAACAATTAGCTCACAGAATGGCGCCGTCTATTTCTCTAGCTATGACTCTAATCTGTTAATAATTGTAGTAGAGTAGGTACGATCGGAATCTCAAACCTCAAAGCAAAATAATTCATTACCATATTGAGAAAAAGCTAGAAAAAAACTGCTTTCGTCATTTGTTTATTGAGCATAATTCAAAAAATAGAATGCAAAATTATTTATAATTTTTTACAATTTCCGCAAATAATCTTATCTTTCGAATTGTGAACAGTCTCATCTGGCACAGGTTCCAGTCCCGGTGGTGCTCATAAGGCGGAATATACATAAACTCGATTGTTTAACAGAGTTTTATCGCGTGTACACTAGCGACAAAATTCTAAATTTTCTTTCGCTCTTCTTTCAATTTAATTTACCAGATTTTCGTTAGAATTACCCATTCACATGCCGCTTCACCAATATGTTTTTTATATACAGTAATAGTAAATGCGGGAAGGATTTGTTTGTTTGTTTGCATCGATTCGGCTTAGAAACTACTAAACTGGGTTTGAAAATACGTTCATCTGCGGCAAGCTACATCAGAACGGGTGATGTGTGATATAATTTACGTGGGCGAAGTCGCAGATATCTAATTCATCAAAATTTTTGGTTCATTTCATAACACATAGCTTTGTCAAAATGCATCAACTCAAAGCATAAATAAATTTTAAAATATGGACATTTTTTGTATATTATATATGTATATGTATTCGTACCTATCTAGGGGTCATCCATAAATTACGTCATACGATGTCATGATTTTTTTGCCCCTCCCCCGTCCTAGTCACAGCTGATCACATTTGTAAGACGCTCCCCTACTAGTGTGATGTCACATATTTTGCAAGGTTTTCGTAAAGTAATAGTTTAAAATTCGTGTTTTAACAATTAGTATATAATATATTTTGAAATGTGACGTCACCAAAATTTGGGACCCTCCCACCCCTTGCTACACAATGTCACACTTCGTCGACCCCTCCCTCCCCCTTGACGTGTGACGTAATTTATGGATGGCCCCCTACGTGGAAAAAAATAAACAAAATACTGATTTGGCAAAAATACTATTTAAGTCGTTTTAATAGAATATATTCAAGATTTTTTTTTCATTAGCTCATAACCATGAAATAGTATAAGAGATATAAGTCTTCTTTAATGTTATGAAGTTTGCTGAACATATGCTTGTAAATGTATTTCACGCACCCATATGGCTCTGCAGTGCTGCATTAATTTTTGAATTGTAAA